AAAAAATGGATGTCTAAAAGGCTACAATTACTAACGTCACAGGTATCCATAACTAGCCAATCACGCGCACTTTTCTCTGTCTTTTCACGATCTTTCATACAGCGCCTTACGATGGCTACGATATAACTAAATGGTTAGTGACAGTGCACTCCAAACTTACCCACATCGATTTCACAATTCAATTATTCCGAACATAGCTGATTTCCCGAACCACATCTTCCGAAAGGGTAATAATCGTGCTTCAGCTGCTCATTTTAGTATATTACCCGGTCTGCCAGCAGCAGCAGCAGCAAACCAGAAGAAGTAATTCAATGAGATGCATTAGCGAGATGCGTCTCGTACATTCAGATATTGACTTATACATAAAGTATTTTTTCATACAATCTTGGTGAAACGCAAAAACTCACCATATCAAAGAGAAGCCTTGGAAGATGGCGGCGATGAGAGTGAAGAGCGTGCTTTGAAGCTGAAATGATTGAGATAATTAGATTTCGGTGGAAAAGATGCCGATATTCATGTGTAAGGTTCCACTGAACCAGTGCATTATAAAGGCGCAATATGAAAGTCATATCTTTAACGACATTTTTCCAGGGGCCATGATAATGGTTTTGCTTTCTCTATGTCATTGCGAAGCCCCCCAATAGCTTCGCTGCTCACCCTTAAATGATCTTCAAACGTTCAAAGCTCACTCTCACTTCAAGCAGTAAGCAGAAACCACTCAGCCGTCTCTGCAGTTCTGAAGAGCTAAAGCGAACAGACATAAATCTCATATGAGCGGTTTAGTGCTAATTACCAATGGAAATATGCGAAAACTGGCGTGAGAAACCACCAACGTAAAGCCATCATGTGACGCAGTGTGCTAATGATAGTGTGGCTAAAGCTAAATTTGGATGAGCTACAAAGCTTTAGCTGCACATAAATGGAGCTCATCCTCGCAGACTAGAAACTACTGACGCAACAACCAAAAATATGACTATGTGGGCTCAGTCAACAAACATAGAGCTATTGTTAGGATTTTTTAAACTGAGGCCTACAGATATTTAGCTCATGTCTAGAACTGCTAAGAAAATTTCCTCATTGCTTTTCTCAGTTTGTAGCTGCACTTCCTGCTCGTTAAAGGCTTCATTTCCCTTTCGACTAGCAATCATTCGTATTTTGAACAGGACATTGTGTGCCTATGATATATGAAGCCACAAATCAAGCTTTGAAAGCTGAAATTGTCTCTACATTTTCAGACTTTTTCGGCAATCATAAGCAGTCATTCACTTGACTTGAGCAAAAAGAAAAAGCATTTCCCATCTTTCTTGCCTTTTCCTACGTGATGATCATGACATAAACATTCTTGTAGACACGGAAACATAATTGTTGGAACAGGTCGACCGATTTTTGGCCACCCAAGAGATCTCATTAGTCATGCCGCAGATGCAATCTACTCTTCCGATACCAAACCACGTATGGCTTCTCGGACATGACGTGATGTTGGGAACGGCTTCATCTCCCGCCGTTTTCTGGTTATGTTTCCCTCGAACACATAACCGCGATTCAAGCATTTCCTCTACCAACACATATGTGCGGGGCATATTATGCCCTGTAACTCGTTGTGAAGGTGCTTGGAACGAACTGATATCGCACGTGATGGGGGAGCCAGCACAAACTGCTGTCAGCCGCGCCAGTTGTGCTCCATCGACAATGGGCGTGGCTGGGGCGGCTTGCGAGTGTGGTCCTATGGTTCGCACCATCGTGTGAGCCGAACCGACACTGGCTATTCAGGCTTTCTGCCGTTTGTTTTCAAAACAAACAGCGAAACCGTATTTAGCCACTGAAGCTACAGTACCTCAATGCCATCCGCCAAGTTGCAAGAGACTCCGCCCCAATTTTGATAGATCACTTACTGCCTCCGCTGGCACTATCCCATTATGTCGGTGATCTTTCATCGTTTTTCGCTGATTCCTCTCCGTTGCTCAGCAATTCAGTTGGCAAAAAGAATGCACCTTTGGTTCACAAACAGATCAATGCCAATCGGGTAACGGCTTCCGAATGTATTTTCCATCATGAATAGCTATTATGTCCAGCATTCTGCTCTATGAATAGCTCCAACTCAAATTTGTCTCATTCCCATTTTCCTTATCTTTCACAAATCCCTCGCTAGACAGTCTCTTTTCGGATGTCATTAAGCTACCGTAATCTCTGCAACGTTACAGAGAAGAGGAGTGAGGTATGTCGTCTGATCCAAGGCGCGTCTCGTTGTTCAACCGATGGCAACAGAAGCAAACAGATGTGCCTACGGGTTTAGAAGGCATTAATGAAGAGGAGCTTATTGAATACAAAGAAGCCTTCCGGTTGTTTGACAAGGTTCGTTCATTCACGGCTTTATTTGGATCTCTCGCTTCATAGCACGCTCTGCATACATGCATAACAAAGGCGCAATGTCCTCTCGTCAAATTACTATCAGTCAGGTTGAGGCAACAAAATGATGTCATAGTGCTCATTACTGCTTGCCATTACCCATTTCGGCATGACAATGAATGCTATTGACTGTTGCATGTATTTATGAGGCCTTACGGCAACAAATTTTTATTGAAGCTCGCTATTGCTGTTTTTTGCAGAAGAAATGTACTCTGACATATTGTTGCCCAGCCTACAACCTATTCTTCAAGTGAGCAATTTCTAGGATGGAAATGGATCGATTTCATCAAAAGAATTGGGCGTTGCAATGCGATCCTTGGGTCAAAACCCCACAGAACAAGAACTGCTGGACATGGTCAACGAAGTCGACATTGATGGAAGCGGAACCATAGACTTCCCAGAGTTTTGTCAAATGATGAAAAGAATGAACAAGGTGAGGCAGAATTTTCTTTCGTCAAAAATAGAAATCGTATATCCATTAGGGGATTTAGCAGCTCCAAAAAAA